CAGGACGAGAGGACAGTCTTACATCTGTGGCAGGCAAGATTTAGGTTGGACATTAGGTAGAGCTATTTCTTCATGGAAGGGGTGTTTGGACATTGGAATGGACTGCCCAAGTTTGTTGCTGGAGTCACCGTCCCTAGAAGTGCTTAAGGAAAAACTGGGTGTGGCACTCAGTGCCGTGGTCTGGTTGACATGTTGGTGTTTGGTCACAGGTTGGACTTGATAATCCCTGGTCTTTTCCAACCTAATTGATTTTGTGAAAATACAGCTGTGTTAAATAAGCTGTGTGGTTTGCACAGGCAAATAATCAACAAGTTCAATTGATCAGATTTTTTTTTTATTCGTGGGAGCTGGACAAACTTAGAGCAGCGATGACATGGGGCCTGCACTGGGGTGTGTGGCAGAGGGCCAGCCCTGGCTCTGCACCAAGACACCACAGAGCCCACAAGGACCAGAGCACTTGCCAAAATCGTGTCTGCACCGACCGGGGACTGGGATATATACACGTGCCCAGGTGCAGCCTGTGGCTTCCACACCAACCACAATGTTTGTGGCTCTCTCTGGCCACTTCAGCTTGCCAGGAAAACAGTGTAAACAGGAGGTACAAGTTAGCAATGAAGTTGCTAAGCACGCCTTGATGAAGTCTGAGCAAATGACCAGCAAGATTGGATGATATGAGAAAACATGTTCTGGCAAACACAGAGTATTCATTACATGAAAACTAGGTGGTCTTTAAAGTCCCTTCCAACTGAAACCATTGGTGATTCCGTGAAAAAGCTGAGGGCGCTGTTGCAAAGCTTCTCGCTCTCTGGTCGTGGGAAAAAAAAATGTGGAAGCCTGGTATGCATGTGTGCTGAAAGTTCAAAAATCAAGGTGCCATGAAAAGAATCACCTCTAGGCAGTGCAGAAGACTGTGCAAAAGACAAAACTGTGACTGTGATACATAATAAAAACACCTACTCATTGTGCAAACCCCACTTAGTTATAAGGAAAAATTTAGATTTCATAGGTTTCTTTTTAAGGCCTGAGATGTTTCCCCCTGATTTAAGTACACTGCAGCATCAGAGCCAAAGGGACTTCTATTGTATCCAGATATAATACTTTTACTCTATCCAAAACTGAGGCCTGTCTGGATTCTTTCCCAACATTTATTTCTATAACTTTTCTACCCCAAATCATTTGCACACATGATATAGATGATTTTTGGATTCAGGCAGATAATTAGTTATGTCTAAATCCCAAATTCATGAAACTGCATAATTACAAATTGCAGATAGATGTATTAGCCTACAGGAATAGGGTTCTAATGATCTAAAATATGTTTTCAAAGATAATAAAGGAAAATTATGGTACTTTTGTTGCCAGCATATGGCAATTCATGTAGTTTTATCACATGAAACTGTTAATTTTGCATTTGCCCTGAATTCTGAGCATTGCTCATGCAGTATTTTAGCGTTTGTACTATTCTGACAGAGATTAATACTTTTTTCTATGTACAGCCTAGTGCTGATAAACTCTAATTCTAAATGACTTAAATAAAACATCAGAAGCAACTGTGAACTCATAAATATCAACACAAGGTCTAAGGACTAGGAAGAAAACAATCCGTTGAAAACAATAAGAAAATCCCAAATGTCCAAAATCATGAAAAATTACAGGTCAATACTGAATATTAATTGCATTTTCCATAATTTGCTTCACAGATTTGACAGACATAAAACTTTGATTGAAATACTTGGAAAAATTTATCAGCACAATCAAATATCATTACCTCACTACATTTTAATGTGGGATAAGGAGTTTTTCTTCTTCTCCTCTTATTTATTACAGAGAACCTCTGAGGCATGAGAGAGGCATTCATACAGGAATGCAAGGAATCTTCCTAGTGAAGGAGGAAATCAAAAATTAAAACAGGGGAAGAGACTTTGATTAGTTGAACAGTAAAGAAAGAAAGTTGGTGCCCACTTTGAGCCTTTCTGTCCATCCTCCAAGGAAAGAGAACATAAAAAAATTTAGATGCAAATAAAAACATGCTTTTGATACAAGTGCAGTGGGGTCCCATAACTCCCTGAATAAATTGTTCAGTTGCATTGCCATGAAATGATCTGGGGGAACTGGCTTGGAAGTTTCCTGTATCTTCAGACTAGAGAAGCCCTCCATCTCTGGGCAGGATGTGGGGAAAACTTGCCTCAGTTACTACATAATGCTCCACGTGCTTTTATTAGCAGCTGTTTATAAAAGTCCCTGTTGTATGCTAAAAAAGAAAGTGCCACTTGCTACTTTGCACCAATTTTTCTGTTTCGCTTAGGAGTAATATTTAGTGAAAAGATACAGTAAGAATAATAAGAATTATGCACATTATAGATAGTTCTAACCATTTTACCTTCTCAAACACCAAAGTCCAGCCCTCTTGGAAATGCAGATGGATTCACAGACAGCAGGTTCTGCATGGAAGAAGCTGCTGGCTGGTACAGAAGAGCTAATCCAGATTCAGTGCATATTTCATTATAACAGATTATTTCAGCATTGGTTTACCTTAAACACATTTGCTAGTCACCTGCCAGCACACATATTTGCACAATTAAAAAAAAATGTGGATCCTTTTCAGAAGACTTGCCACTACTCATTCCTTGGAAAGAAGGACAGATCAACAGGCTGTGACAACTGAAGGATAAAATCCAAGCCCTGTGCAGGTCATTAAAGATTTCATCATTGGCCTCAGCTATGTCAAGATGACATGAAACCTGCTCAAAGACAAACAGACCAGAGACAAAAGGAAGAAGTCATAAAACATGTGCCCAGTCAGTCTGATTAATTCACAGACTGACTTATTTTGGAACCTTTTTGTAAAATATTCTTACCATTCTTTTAAACTTACTTATTCTGGGAAAATTCCCCTAATAATAGGGGAAGTAAAAACTTCCCCTAAAACTAAGTAATTGTACTATAGTCTCTGAGATCTAGATATCTTAATTAGCTATTTTTAATTTTCCTTTTTTTCACTAAATTCTATGCATTTCGTATTGTTTCATTAAACTTTTTGACACATCATGAAATTTTTAAAATATTTTTTTCCTTCTGCCTTGTGAATTTGAAAGCGAAATCAAGTTAACAGTATAATCTTGAGCAACACAATAGCAGCATATTTCTGAGCAAACTAAAGCAGGACTTTCAAAAACAGTCAAGGGAGAAAATATTTGGGTCTTTTTTTGCTGAGACTTCAACTTGTAAATCATGTGACTTTTCTGACTTGAGAAGAAAGAAACCAGGCGCTTTGTGCTCTTACACAGCAGTAGGTTTCCTGATAGTGTGACTTCCTCATTGTGAAATGCAAAACAAAGAGAGTTGAGACAACACAAAGGCTGTTGTCTCTCACAGAGACAGTATTTCCCATTTCTGATCCCAGTCTAATAATTTCCAGGGAATGAAAATATCTGTATTCATTAAAGCTCTGTTGTTAAGCTGAGTCTGTTCTTTGGTAGTTTATTCAGAATCAGTCTCCCTACTAAACACCCTGTCCTGAGGGATTTCCAGACTCACAACCCATGAAATAAATTTTAACTTTTCTACTACTAGCCACTGGCAGTTGCTTAGTTATATGGAAATGCTTCTGTTCTTTGGGCATCTCTGTTCTTGCTCCAGTAGAGGGTAAAGTGAGCCAGTTAGGGTGTTTGCATAAATCCCAAATTACTCTCACAGGCCTTCAGGCACTTTCCACTAACTGTGTGCTAACACCAGCCACCCAAATACACACTTTATACACACTTCTTTATACAATCCTCTTGTTCTGTGCTGGTCCCTCTGAGAGTGAAGGCCAACCTTGTAGCTTGTTGAAAAAATGGGGGTGTGTTGTGAGAGTCAGCAGCATGACTTAGTGTCTTCCCATATCCCAAATTCAGCTAAATGAAAGATAAAGAGCTGCTTTACAATATCTAAGAATGTACATGACAGTGGCACAGAAGAAGAGGGTGAAACAAAACCACATATATGGCAAAGAGTTGCACTTCTCTGGGTGGCCCAGCTGTAGATCCGTAGACCACACGGCCATTGAGATCATGATCCAGCTCATTCCTCAGCATCCAGCAGTATCTCTAGGTAATATCAGAGGAAGCACAGGATTGAGGATAATTCCTCCATCCTTTCATACTCCAAAGTCATGTTGTTGAGTCTCCTGAGATGGAATTTTCCTCATCACGCCCACCTCTCTCCTCAGTGACATCCATACATCCATCGGGATGGTGTCGGAGCCTCCCTTACGGCAGATCCCCCTTCTTTAAACTCACTCCTTCGTGCTTCTCCCACACAACGCCTTCCCCTCCGGTCGGGCGGGTTACGATGCGTGTGCCAGCCTGGGAAACGTCCCATTCCCAAGGTTAAACTTCAGTGGTTCGAACCTTTCTCCGTAAGGACGCTGCTGCCCGGGGGCGTACCTGGGCGCTAGACACGCTCCCCGCGCCCGGGTGGATACGGATCACTGCTCCGCGTTTCCCGCAAACACCGAGGCTCTTTTTCCCTCTGTGCCCTCAGCGGTGCACGAACTGCCCCCACCGCCGCCCCGCACCCTGCGGCCAGGGCGGCGCCACGGCCCCTAACACGGCGCCCGCGCAGGGACAGCCCCGAGCTGAGCGCAATGTCGGGCTCGGTTCTCGGGGTCCCGCGGCAGCCGGTGCCGGGAGAAGCAGGGCCGGCGGTGCCGGGAGAAGCAGGGCCGGCGGTGCCGGGGTCCCTGAGGGCCGCTCCCGCCGCCCAGGCAGCGCTGCCGGGGTCTCGCCCTGCAGCGCCGCCCAGCCCCGCCAGGGGGCGCCGCGCGCGGATGGGGTGGGGGGGGGGGGGGGGGGGGTGCGGGCGAGTCACGAGACGGCCGCAGCTGTTGCTGCAGGCCCGGGCAGCATTCCGGGGAGGGGCGCGGCCATTGGCTGAGGGCGAGCACAGCGGGCGCTTCTATTGGCTGGTGGGCGGGGAAGGCGGGGCGAGGACGTCTTTAAATGTGGCGGCCGAGCGCGCAGCTTGTACTCTCCGAGGCGGGGAAGCAGCGGTAGCGAGCCGGGACCTCCAGCAGTCGAACGCCGCCGGGACATGCTCGCAGCCTGACTGACCGCAGGTGGCCGCCGCGCCCGGGACACGAATGAAGAAACAGCTGCTCCTCCTGTTCACACACCGGGGACTCGTCAGCCGAGGGGGCCGCAGGGGGAAGCGTCGCCGAAAATGGCCTCGTTCAGCATCCGCGCCGCGCGTCCCGAGGACTGTCCCGACCTGCTGCGACTGATCAAGGTGCGGGCGGGATGCGGGGCGGGGGGGCAGCGCTGCCCGGTGCCGGAGCAAAACAAGCTGTTGCGCAAGGGAGGGGGGGCGGGGAGAGGCCGCTCACATCCTCCTTCTCTTCCAGGAACTGGCGAAATACGAGGACATGGAGGACCAGGTGGTGCTAACTGAGAAAGGTACGGAGGGTGCAAGAGCTCACTCGGTTGGTGGCCGAGTGACAGCGCCTGTGGCTCAGGTGCGTGTGTATTCTGCTTTTCTAGAGCTGCTTGAGGATGGTTTTGGCGAGCACCCTTTCTACCACTGTCTGGTTGCAGAAGTGCCGAAAGACCAGTGGTCGTCTGAAGGTGAGGCTTCCTGATACTTAGTTTTGGACCCTAAATACACAGAAGCATCTTTGCTTAATGTTAATGATTGTAGATGAGGTTTCACCTGTGGACTGGGGTAGGAGGACTAGGTTAACTGGTGAAATTCAATAATGTATAGTGATACTCTGCTGAAGTGGTTGCTAATCCTGAAAGCATGGGAGATCAGGTATAACATAATGTGCTTGACTCCAATTATTAAATGGCTTTTCTTGTTTGACCCTGACTTAACTTTATGTAATTCTGTTGAATCACATTTTTTTCTTTAATTTGTCCCCAATCTTCAGGTTACAGTCTCTAGCTTCGCCATGTACATGGCCCTTCTGTGTACATGGATGGGCGGGGAGGTAACTAAAAGATCCGTTACACAATAAAGTAGATGATCATAATATGAGGTAAGGCCTACAGGGACAAGTGCTATTCCCAAACCTTTACCAAAGACACAGTAGATGGCAGAAACCTGTTTGCACGCTTCTCTTAGAGTATGTGCAGAGTGTTATGGCAGATGTAGTTAAAATACTCAGGGTTTATGTTCGAGTGGGCTGTTGTTGGAAGAGTTGGTTTCTCTCTTGAGCCACAGAATTAACAACTGAAGCTGCAGCTTTACTTATCTTGACTTCCTGGTGCTGAAGGTAAAGAAAACAGCATGATGCTCAGTGGAAGCATAAGTGAAAGTGCCTGAAATGCTGTTGTAAAGGTGGCCTGTAAATAGGCCTTCTGGCACAGTAGTTACTGAGGAATATACATGGAAAGATCAGGGTTTGACAGATTATTCCTAAGGAAGCAGAGCTGGGGCAATCATGTAGATTGTGAGCTGCTGTGTAAAGTACTTACTTGTCTTCCCGACTGAAAATGAATCAGCAGGGTGTGCATTATTTTGTAGAAAAAGGGCATGTTTGCCCTTACTATGACAGTGCTTTTGAGGATCTCAGGGTATGAACAGAGCAATCTTTTTTTTGTTAGGCTGATACAAATATGTCAGGACTTGTGTTTTCAATTGTGTGCTTATTTGCAAACTTCATTTTTAATTGTAATCTAGTATCAAATATCTGCATGTCTCAGAAAATCTGTATGTTTAAACATGCATGTAAAACTTAGTATTTTTACCTTGTAAATTCTGACTAGCTGAAGTTACACCCTTTGTTTCAGAAACATGCGTTGTGGGCTTTGCCATGTATTACTTCACTTACGATCCGTGGATTGGGAAACTGCTGTACCTTGAAGATTTTTATGTGATGGCTGAGTACAGAGGTACCTATTGCAGAATTAGATGAGTTGCTACCCCTAGGGCTTCTGTAGATTTAAAACTTAAGCTTCTTGTTTTTTGATTTTTCAGGACTTGGTATTGGGTCAGAAATTCTGAAGAACTTGAGTCAGGTATGTCTAAGTGCTAAGTCTAAACAAGAATTAAAGGAGGTGGCAGGACTCTAGACAGCTTAAACATTGCCTAGAGTCTGGTAAACTGAGAAATGCTGCAGTGGCTGCTGGAACGAACTCGGTGACTTGTGGTGGTGTGCAGTTGCTGGGTAATGTGGCTGGTTGGCACTGGGGCTGTCCCCGGGCACTGTGACCGTGTGGCATTGGCTTTGCAGGTGGCTGTGAAGTGCCGCTGCAGCAGCATGCACTTCCTCGTGGCGGAGTGGAACGAACCCTCCATCAGGTTCTACAAGAGAAGGGGCGCCTCGGATCTGTCCACCGAGGAGGGCTGGAGGCTCTTCAAGATTGACAAGAAGTATCTCTTGAAGATGGCAGCAGAGGAGTGAGAGATTATTCCAGCAAATAAATGTTTTCTGCGAATATATGTGCTCTCTGAATAAACTTCTTGCTTTCTGTGTATGTACAAGTTTGTAGTGGAATAAAGTAGTGTGGATGCTAATAATGGCAGTGCAGGTGTGGTTATAGAGTAATGGTACTGTGATCTGGAGCTGAGGCATCTGTGAAGTTCAGTATGTGCTTGTGTGTGCATCCTTTACCAGTGTGGGCTTGTAATCCCTGTATATGGAGACTTCATTCTTGTAAGTGTCATTCAAATGTGTACAATGTACACACTGGTAGGGTTTGTTTTAATTATTGCCTTTTATAAAAATAAAATAGTGTTTTCACTTCATGGCAGTAGTTTTGACTTCAATTCTCACATAAATTTTTCCATCAAATAACATGCAGGTTAATAAAAGACTGGATTGATGTCAGCCTTCTCACAAACTAAATGATTTACCAGGGTCCCAGTGGGATAAAAGGGTACTTGTGTGCCTGTGGGACCTGGTGGCAAGGTTCTGAGCACCTGACTGAAAGGGTTTGAGATCAACCCCTGCTGGTGCAGGGCATCCTCGCTTGTGACCTACATTTTTAGGTACAGTTGGAGTCCCCAAGCTAGGCTGCTGCTCTCTGGACAGCTAATCCAGAAAGTCCAGAGCTTGGGTCTTCCACTTACCTGCAGAGCACCTCAGCTGGAAGGGCATAGCCTCAAAGGGAAAGATGCATCCTGGTGTGGTTCCAAGGCCTGAGTAACAAAAAATTGAAAAAGTTGGTTATGACTGGTCACATGAAAGTATATTTGCAAACCACACAAAAAGCTCAATTGTGTGATTCCTAAACCACCAAACTCGAATGCTTCAGGTGGCATGTGTTTCTGATCATGATTTCAGATCAGGTTCTGCATTTCTGCTGAGCCTCAGTGCCTGTGCTGAGCTGTAAGTGCTAAGTGGTAGGAAATCAGCCCTCTGTTTTTTAGCCTTTGTATGGTAGCAGGTGAAAACAGTGCTGCTCATCAATTTTTAAATTGTCTTTGAAACAAATTAACAACTTTGCAGTACTGTGTTTGCACTTCTTGTAAGCTGATGGTGAAAGTGGATGTGTGCAAACTTTGTGCTGCTCTCCTCTTGCTCTCTGGTAACCCTGCAATAAAAGGCTTTTTTTGGCCAGCGTTGCTTTCAGTTCAAAGGAGGGAAGAGACTTAGCTGCCTTGTAGCATAAACAGGTTTAAATAAAACAAGGTTTTAAACCTGTTGGTCACTGCATAAATCATGTGTCACATGGAAGATGTTTCCTCCTCCTAGAGAGTAGTGGGCAGCAACTGTTTCAGCCATGGGAAATGCTGAACTAATTGTAAGAATAAGGTATCACTCTGCCCAGAGCCAACAGAGAGCTGTGCATGAAACTGTTCTTATTTTCTGTTTTGTTTTAGTTTTTAGCTGATGTGCAGTCAGCAGTGTGCCAGCTCTGCCCAGGAGTGAGGTTTGGCTGTCAGCTGTTGCTTCAAGAGTGAGGACAATAATAAAAAATACAGCAGCTCTTGGGGGAGAGCAGAAGGTAGCTCTTCCTTGGGGGCACTGGTGGACAAGAAGCTCAACATTGTCTTGGCAATGTGCACTTGCAGCCCAGAAACCAATGAAAGCCCATGTTCTGGGCTGCATCCAAAGCCCTGTGGGCAGCCAGTCAAGGGAGGGGGCTCTGTTCCTCTGCTCCCCTCTGGTGAGACCCACCCAGAGTGCTGCATCCAGCCCTGGTGTCCCCAACATCAGAAGGATGTGGACCTGCTGGAGTGAATCCAGAGGAGGCCATGATGATCAGAGGGCTGGAGCAACTCTCCCATGAACACAGACTGAAAGTCAGACCTGCTCAGCCTGGAGAAGAGAAGGCTCCAGGGAGACCCAGCAGCTTTTCAGCACCTAGAGAGGGACTTTTCACAGGGGCAAGAGGGCTGTAAGCTGTAGGAGGACAGGTTTAGACTAGCTAGTAAGAAGAAATTTTTACTGTGAGGGTGGTGAGGCACTGGAATGGGTTTCTAGAGTTGTGGATGTCTCATCCCTGGAAGCATTCAAGGCCAGGCTGGATTTGAGCAACCTGGTCTTGTGGGTGACATCCCTGACCATGGAAGAGCTTGGAAGGAGATGGCCTGTGAGGTCCCTTCCAACCCAAACCATTCTATGGTTCTGTGATATGGTTCCAGTGCTTATCTGGACTTACTCCAGCTGGACTGAGAGTGGAACCTGTCACAAAAATTACCTTGACTGAGCAAGGTTCTGGTTCTGCATAGGAAACATCCCTTTCCAGGACTGCCCCAGTCTGTGCAGCACCTCAGCTGCTGTGGCAGCATTCCTACCACACACAGCAGCCTGAGGCTCAATCCCTCTCCTACCCAAAGGGAGCAGAAATCTGTGTTTCTTGCTTGGCCAAAGATTAAATGCCAGGCTACAAACTTCCCTACCCTTGCTGAGCCTGTTCTCTTCTGGAATTCAGTAGGCCAAAAGAAGTGAGAACAGGCATAGCCAAGGAACCAGCCCAAGAGCTGGTGATGGAGGCACAATGGGAAAGAGGAGATGGTCTCCAGCAGTTCTCACTGAGCATCAGGGTGTTGTATCTTCTCCTTGGTGAAGATGTAGTAACTTCACTGGTTACTCTGTGAGCTACATTAACCTCATCTCATCTCCTGCATCTCATATCTACTGCATCTCAGTCCTAGTGCAATCTGTTTTGAAGTTATTTTAAGCTTGTGCTTCTGGCTCCATTTATCAGACCAGAAGGTGATTGGTAGTAGAGTAGTTTAAGAGTGGTTTTATTTTTAAATTAACAGTTCATTAGATATCTAGGGCAGGCCTGCTTAAATCTCAGGCCCCAGACTTCTGGAGCACAATAAAGCTATCAAAGCTGCATGACTGAATGGAACAAGCTAACTAATTAGGCATCATAATTAGAAAAGTAAGCAGCTTAGTTAAATTTTCAATCAATTTAAAATTGTTTATCATATCTTGTTCGTCTTCTGCCAATGTGGCTTACCATTGCATTTTCTAAATGAATTCTGATGGAATGGATTCTCAGGCAGTCACAGAAAACAAGTGAGGCAGTGCTAAATGAGAAGACCTTTTCTAGCCAGTGGGGATAATTTTAAACATTCACATGTGAAAGAAAATACAAGGACCAACCTTTCAGGTATGACTTTTGCTGAGATCCTAAGAGGCAGAACCAGCAGAAGTATTCTCACAGTTTTGGTAAGAGTCTCCAACAGTGATGTGGTAATGCCGTGGGTCAAGAACAGACCAATTTTAAATTCCCTCAATATCTTTTTCTTCAAGCTACGGGAGGACCAAAGTGCTTCTGGAAACTACAACTGAGACATACAGCACAATGTTTTCTGCGGCTTTAGGTGCTGGAGAAACCTCACCTGGTGTGACTATCCTCGGTTCCAGGACCACAATCACACCGCCAAGCTGAGAGCCAGCCTGTGGTGGGGGCTGAGCCATACCAGCTGGCTTTGAGCTGCTCGCCGGTGTCGCACCAGTGGAGCCCATGGCAGCAGAGGCACAGGGCTGCCGTGTGCCCTGCGGGGCAGCCAGCGCTGCGCGGCTCCCCGCCTGCAGCGAGCCTGCCTCCGGGGAGAGTTAGGGAGCGAGCGTGACCAGCGCTGATAACATCTCCAGGGAGCCGAGGCGCAAAGCTGCTCCTCGCTCTCCCTCTCAAACTCATGCCCCGGGAAGTTCTCCTCACGCTGAGCCAGCCAGCGGAACATTTCGCAATGGCAGAGTTTCCACATTCCCATCGGGTGGGGACAGAAGGGTGGCCTTGGACAGACTTACGGCCGGAGGATGCGTCAGGCCCGTGCAGAGGGAGCGCCGGGCTCGCCGCCCCCCTCCGCTTGGCCTTTTCCTGTTCACAGGCTCCTGCACAATGATCCGGGCCGTAGCCATAGCGACGACGTGGAAGGAGGCTTTTTTTTTTTTTTTTGTCTACATAAGTTAAAACAAAATACATGTGAGAAAAACAACCCTTCCCCCTCCTCTCTTCTTGTAAAGAGCCTTCGCTGTCGATGTAATTAAAAAAAGCCAATGCAACTTTTTCCTCCGAAAAAGCATATGGGGGTTTTACTGCATTCCTGCTCGGTGTTTTGTCTTGGGAGAGTCGCCGTCCTGGAGCCTGGCCCGGGGGAGCCGAGGTGTCAGCTCCGGGCAAACACCAGCTCCGTACGGAGCGGGACTCGGGAAAGCTCGGTCTAATTCCCCGCCAGGCAGCGCTGCCTCGGGCTGGAGGCCAGCCCAGCCCAAGGGTGTGTGTCGTGCCTCCCTTTCTTTGAGTTGACCAGAAGCTTTATTTCCTTCGGCTTGCTCAAGCTTCCTCCCCACAGCGCTCGCTCCCCCGCGCTCTCCCTCAGCGGCCCTCGGGGAGCGGAAGCTGAGCTGAGCTCGGGCCCTCACACGGACGGACGGATGGCAGCGCCGAGGGACCAAACCTGCGCGTTTAAATGATTCCCCTCACGCAACGGACTCGGCTGTGCCCGCTTGTTTTGCTGGCCTGGGCAGGCTGCTTTTTTTTTTTTTTTTTTTTTTTTTTAATCTCTGGTGTCAGAGAAGTGGCTTCAATTTAAAGGAAGGCCTCAGCTGCTGTCTGAAACAAGCAGCTAAGCAGCACCGAGCCTACTGCTAATGTTTAATCTTGATGCAAACTCAAAGCAGGCTCTAACTTCACTATCCAGGCAAGATTCCTTCCCAGGACTCTTCTTTCTCTCACCAAGTCCTGGCTAAAAACTTTTTTTGCTGTCCATATGTTTGTGGTTTTTTTGGGAAATACAACCTTGATGGAGGGCTTCAGAACCCATCAGGAGCTCAGACTTGTTCCCAGAGGGAGCTTGTGGAGGAGAAGGGTGTGAGGCTGAGGACGGTGGGTGCGGGCTCTGGGGCAGGAAACCAGCCCAACACAGTGCAGCTCTGGGAGATGCGCCTCTCCCCGCCCTCAGGCCTTGCCCTGCTGAGCTCTGACTTTTTCTGCTATCAGAAACACTCTGTAACAGAATAAAGCACAGGTAAACATCTCAACTGAAAATACTGAGTAAGGTGGAAGAAATTCCATCTTCAAACCAGTTTCGGTTTCATTTCATAGATTTACTCCGGGCTAAAGCAAGAGACAAAAAGCCCCAGGGGATAATTGGCTTGTGAGGAAGGAAAACAAACACCCTGTTCAGAAACTGCTCTCAGGTAAATAGTTCTGTTTATTTTGTTCTGAACTTTGCGTATTTCAATCGTTGATATAGCAGGTGTCAGATGGTCACATCCACTCAAAGCAAAAACGAACATCCGTTTTCTTGAACTATTTCCCTTTGCCACTAAAACAGACTAA